AATATGTCAAAAATATGGAACACTTCGTTTTGAAAAAAATTCCACAGCTGTAAATTTCTTAGAAACATCCCATATTGTTGTTGAGTTACGAGCAATTTCTTTTTCATCTCTGTAACAGCGACCAACCGCAGACAGTGCTGTTTCGTACTCATTAGCTCTGTGACTACATGTTATATCGGCTGCTATATGGGTCGACTGTTTTCGTGGTGCACAGTCTATATATACGAGGGGCACGTTGTATATTTTGAGATGTGAATTAACTATACTAGTTTAGGCCCGTATCGTCAGTCGTCCCTTCAATTGCAGGGCGCGTTTATGGACTCCTTGATTGTCATACTTCTGTCTCTCCTTCAAAATTTCTAGATTGCACCCGTCCCGTGTCAGCGTCAGCGCTCTCCTATTGTGAAGATATGTTTTCTTTTTAAATTGTAGGAAATTTCAGGCTGATAAAACATAATATAACTCAAAAGCAAGCACAATTTGATGCAAATAGATGTTTGTGACATAACCTCAAAATAGAGCGCTGACACGGAAAAGTAGAAAACTATGACAATCAAGGAGGCCATAAAGGCGCCCTACAATTGTAGGGACGACTGACGATACGGGCCTAAGACCGGAAACAGTGCGCTATTAGAAATAGCAGTCCTTTATTAGTAAGTGGCCGCATTCAGTTCATTTGCAATCACATACAGTGCACGTGGTGTAAACAAATTTAAGACGAAACATGGAGTTGTCTCGTGAGAGTTATCGCGCTATGACTTACTATTAGTTTAAATTCGGTTTAACTGAACATCAATGTATCGAACGGTTACGGTTACATTTGGTAATGAAGCTCCGTCCTGGGCAAGTGTGTTTCGCTGATATGCCGAATTTGAAAGAGGGCGTGTTTCATTGGCTGATGAAAAACGTAGTGGTAGGCCATGTTCTGACTCCAGAAAAAATTGCTAAAGTTTAGCGGTTAAATGAAGAAAATTCTCGCTACATGCGTCTATAGAGGCAACTCTTGGGGTAGGATCCGCAACAGTGCACACCATTTTGCACGATTATCTTCATTTAGAAAAAGTTGTTGCGTGCAATCCACGACAATGCCTCTAGCCACACTGCCCAACTAACTGCAGACTTTGTACGCCAGCGCCAATCAAAATGCTGAAACATACGCCTTATTCGCCAGATTTGGCAATGTGTGACTTCTGGCTCTTCAACAATTTGAAAAAAAATCTGCGTGTCGAAAATTTCTTTCGGAGAGGAAATCGAACAAGTAATTAAGAGTTTGTTGAAGGCATTTCAAAAACTGACTGGTTAGAAGCATTTCATTCGTGGAAGGTCAGGCTACAGAGGTGCATTGATGCTGGAGGAGAATATTTTGAGCATAAATAAACTAGTTTTCGAAAAATAGTTTTTAGTTTTCGCGTATCTCAAGACATATAGCGTGGCCCTCGTGTGTGCGCACATGGTAGTAAATTTATATTCTGCAGTTAGTACCGCTGAAAAGTCTCAAAATGAGATATGACAAGAGGCCCCCCATTCAACTTAAAATTATGTTGCAAATCCCAAAAACTGTACACAAAATCATGCTAAATATGCAAATTTTGAGGTCCAACCGCATTCTTATGGGAGAATAACCTCCCTCTTGGCACCCATGAGTCTAACCTGTTCATGTTAAGCCGAAGAGTCCGTAGCCAAACAAACCTATTGGAATACATGGCAGCTCCCAGACGTGGAGAACAGTGGCGACAAACGCAAAAATCGGTATTTTATTAGGTTAGGCTACAGACCCTGGCGAGATTCATCGCCATGTCATCGCAGTGAGAAAGGAAACTAAATGGTAGTTATCATGTGAACAACATAAAAATATACCGTGTTGTACAAGATTGTTCAACAGAAGCGACTATGTCGACATGTATGTTTGTAGAATGGAACATGCCTTATGGCTGGCGAGAGGTTGCGTAATACTCACATATTCTGGGATACTCTGTATAAGTGCATTTTTATACCGATTTGACAAGACACCAAATCTGTAAGATTTTTCCTGAATTTCTTTTTTGTAACAGGTAGTCAAACTGGTAAAGGTTCCATGGAAGAGGAACTGGTCAAGACAGAAAACCTTGGAGTTGAAGTTGTTGAAGGAGGCGCAACAAAAGCTGACACTGGTGCTTCACAAACTAGAGCATCTCAAGATGCAACTTTCTCTACTACAGATGCCGGTCAACCTGTCACAGGAGTTCTTTCATCTGAAGTACCTGCAGAACTAAGAAGCTTGGATAGGGGCAGTCGAGATGCTGCCGGTGCTGATGGTAGATATCTATTCCCTTTTCTATCTTCTCTCTCTGGTCTCCAATGTTTTCAGTACAAACGATCTGACACAGTTGCGAGACCTGGTTTTCTCTCTTCAATACTGTGTAATCCTTTTCTTTAGATTTTTTATCTTTGACTAGCCCTAATAGATTTTTGTCTTAATTTGAAATTATCTACAGCTACAGCTGTGAAACCCAGCAAAACAACGTCATCTGAATCAGATTCTGATCCTGACAGACGTAAGAAGAGAGGTTTGGTTGATAAGAAGAAGAGAGGATCTCAAGAGGTACCAAAATCTGCTTCCCAAGTGTCATATTTAGATGGTAAACCAAGAAAAAGGCGATCGTCGCGTCTAGATAACGCGGTAAGCTACATAGTCAACGATAACAAACTGTGTTTTCTTCAGAAGAGAGTTTTAGTAACATATTGCGAAAGCAGTCAATACATTTACTAAATATGCAATTGAAACATTTTTGGAAAAACATTTCTTGTCTTCTTTGAGTTCCTGTGGCTTTAAACGAAAACATTTTTGAGTAAAATCCAAGGGCTGCCAGACATAACTGATTTTCTGAAAAACTGAGTAACGTTTATATGCAGGGATATATTTTAAAAATTATCTTGCCATCTTCCTCTATTATTCTCAAATTTTCCAATTTTTTCATCCTTGTTTTAACAATCTTTTATATCCACAAAAAACATCACTGTATAGCTGGGCATAAAATGAAAGAAAGTCGAATAACCGCCCGTTTTTGACTAGAGCAAAATAAACGGCTCAAGTTCACAACAGTGCATGCCCAAGTCGGATTCAGCGGAATAGACTTTTTGTAGGGCTAGGGATCACATGTGCAAACATCATCGTTCAAAAACCGGTCAGGAGCTTCAGTGCCGTACTATCGTCAGATACACACCTGCGTTCACTAGCACTTATCAGCTAAAACTTAGGGTATCATTTCTCTGTGCTTAAGTGACATTCAGCAACTGAGCTTAGCATACTCTAGACTAAGCTAAGATTCAGCTGTTGTGTGCTAGTGAACGCAACCGTCAATTTGAGACCGTACATCAGGTATGTGACTGCAAAGGCGTCTGCCAGTGCGTAGTCTGTTCCAAGGAAATCATCCAGAAGCGACTTGCAGCGACCGGAAATAAAGAACCACCCAGCGGACGGTACGACCAACTGTGTTGCTGCGCAGACTCCAGTGCAGCGCAACTTCAGCAACAACAATTATCCCGACCCCTTACACCCACACAACAAAAGGGCATGTACCAGGCGCAAGTACCAGTAGGTTACGTGCAATTTGAAGCGCTCTGCAACTATTCACAAGGAGGGCAGCCCCAGCAGCCGATTCATCCACCGGGTTGTAGATGTCGGACATGCAGGTACTTGTTGCCACATTTTTTTTATCCAATAATTTTTTTTCACGAAAATATTGTTTGGAGAACAATTATTCTCAGAAACAATAATAAAGCGGAGCCGAGCAGAAGAGGTGCGTCACTTTAGGCTGTTTTTTTTTATACTCCAACTACCACGAATGCCTAAGGCCTAAGCACCCATTGGGTACCGTGGGGCTATAGGGGGATACATGGAAAGGGGGGACGCCACACGGACTCTGGCGAGGGAACACGTGTGCATGCAACATGCACACATTCTGGCTCCGCCTACGAGATCCGCCGGGTGGTACCTCCGCGTTCGACAGTCAGAGACCATCTACCACCTACGGACAATCACAACATCCATAGCCAAGAGAAAAATTTCTCCTGGGACGGGACTCGAACCCGCACAGCGCACGGCGACTGATCAGGAGACCGAAGAGTCTACTACTGCGGCCACCGCTGCTGCCTATCTTATATCGAAAATACATTTCGGAAGCTAAAAATACTGATATAAATGTTATAGTGTTAATATTCACATAAAATACAGAAGTTTCAGCGAGGAATTTTTAAGCATTGTAGACGATTAGGAATAGTTCCAATTCAATAAGGCCCATTGTGAATTTCTGTTGTAGTTCAGCTCGCCATGCACCTTGCCAAGCTAACGATCGCCATTCCAGTGTTAAACTTTGTTGAGTACATGCTGTAATGTCATTTTCATCACTAAGTGACCAGATAGAGTACAATTTAAGCTGTATTTCTAACTAGCGTATCAGTATGGAGTGCCCATGGATGATTTCAAAATCTCAAGGTCTTTAGGTCAAACTTGGACAAAAATAATGTGGTCCCATTTACCTGAAAACATTTATTGAACACAACTGCTAAATACAGCTTCTCCAAGATCTTTGATATAAATCGATACCACTATAAGTTCGTTGTATTCATTTTGAGTCACAAGACGGGTGCCGACACGGGCTTGCGCCAGCTGTCATGCTCCTATGCCGCACTTGTTACTGCAGCTTGGCCAAGGGCTACTTGAAAGTGATCTTTTATATTGAAACCTCTACTTCAGTTATTGACACGTGAATCCGTCCATGCAAAGACTCACATATCTTATTTTGTCCAGAAAATTTCTAAGCACCACATACAAGCTTCAAACTCGCTGCCCTGGATTTTAGTACAGAGAAGGCCTTCAATTTTGGAAAGCCACCATTTTTCTCTTGTTTTACCAATCATATATGAATCCGTCACTTTATATACTAAAGACGCATGTACTTTTTTGCAAGTTGTTTCTTCCATAAAAAATTCAGGTGTCAGATAAGGGAATGAAGAACCAGTGGTATTATTTTATATTCTTGTATTATAAGAAACAATGTACATATGGTTTTATCATTTTCACGTGAGTGCAGTCAATGGCGCCAATGACATGAGGTATTGTATTATGTGCTGCCCATTCATCTTTAGCTCTATTGAACATAGCTCCCGTAGCAGGGAATTTAACCCACTGATTTTTCTTGCTACAGATTTCACGTGATACCTTATCAATAATTTTTGAAACGGTTTTTTGATGAATCCCAACATCAAGTCCAACGCCTAGCTGAAATCCAGGGTCTCCTGAAATAAAGATATAAAAATTAGATTATTTATCCTATTTCATTTATTGAAACATACCTAAGCTTCTTAAAAATACTTCCATTTGTTGGATGTGTGTAAGAGCACCGCCTCGAGTTTCATTTACTTCTGGGAGAAATATATTCGCTAGGTAAGATATGTTTTCTCTACTAAACCTAAAAGAATAAACAATTTTAAAAGTAATTAAAAACAATAATAATATTATTGTTAAATTACCGAAATATTTTATGATATAAAATATCATTATGATAGCGGCGTCTTGCATTATATATTTTTCTGCTGCGTATTCCTTCCATTTTCAAAGAAAACTAAACAAAACTAACCGTAGTATTCTCTCTGAAGTTGCACTTATACCAACTTCGCAAAAGTCAAGCATATACTAAATTCCTCTTCAAATTAGTAGCATCTACTACAAGAAGTAGGTACTTTCAGTAAATACTACTTGTTATAGTAAGTTCCGGTAAAACAAAAAGTATCTACTTGAAAATGTAGCTTCTTCTCAGATTTGAAGTAAATACTTTGTAGAAAATGCTAATACTTGTAGTATTAGAAGGTACTTCATTTTTATTCATACCACCCACTGTCATTGTCCGTTAATGTTTATAGGACAGGAAAATTAGTATTTGGGCTGCATCTCAGCATTTGTGTGCGTGTGCCACTTCAGCACGTTAGAAATGCAGCTTCAGTCGGTGGTTATCTTAGTAACGATGATGTAAATAATTCTGACGTGTTGCGTGGCGATGTAAAGTGAAATGATTTGATCATTCCAAACGGTTCTAAAAATGAACGTTTGAATACACCTGACATTCTATGAAATGGATGTTGCTAATAGTCCGAGAAAACATTTTCATACATATAGAAACGAAGTGGTGTTCAGTTTTAAATGTAATAAATAATATTATGGGGTTGTCCAAAACGGACGCAGGAAAGTATACGCATATTAAAACAAGAAAGATTGATATTCAAATCAAGTTGGGTACTTTATTTTGAAGGTTCATTTATACCAGTTATGTATGAAAAATAATATCGCTCAAATGTTCACCACGACTGGATTTACAGACGTCCACGCGATGGTCGAAATTTTCAATGACATTTTGCAACATGGTCGGTTCTATGGCATTTATCTCGGCAATGATGTTGTTTTTGAGTTCTTGGAGGGTGGCTGGTTTGTTGACGTAGACTCTGCTTTTCAAATATCCCCATAAAAAGAAGTCCAAGGGAGTCAAATCGCACGATCTTGGTGGTCATGGCACATTTCCTCTGCACGAAATCACGCGATCACCGAAGAAGGACTGCAATCGATGGATATTGACGTTGGTTGTGTGGCATGTTGCACCGTCTTGTTGGAAATAAACATCGTCCATATCCATTCCTTCAAGTTGCGGCAAAAAATAGTCCTCTATCATCACGTGATATCGCTCAGAATTGACGGTAACGGCGGCCCCGGCCGCATTTTCGAAAAAGTAAGGTCCGATGATGCCTTTTGACCACAATGCACACCACACAGTCACTTTTTGAGGATGCACCGGCTGCTCTTGATACTCACGGGGATTTTCGTTCGCCCAGATGCGGCAGCTTTGCTTGTTTACCGTCCCATTCAAAGTGAAATGCGCTTCGTCGCTGAACATGATTTTTGATGAAAAATTGGCATCAATTTGGCGGTGTTCAAGGAGCCAATCTGAGAACGTTCGGCGCGAAAAATGGTCGGCCCGACGCAGCTCTTGCGTCAATTGGATCTTCTAGGCGTGTAAATTCAAATGCTTGTGGAGAATGCGGAGCAAACTGGTTCTCGAAATGCCCAATTCTTGGGATCGACGCATTGTTAATTGTTTCGGATCATCTCTCACACTCTCCTTCACAACAGCAATATTTTCCGGTGTGCGAACGCTCCTTGGCCGGCCAGAGCCTGGCAGATTTGCCACAGAACCTATTGCCTCAAATTTACGCACCAGACGACCGATGGTTGTTTCGTTTGGACGGTTGTTGCGACCGAAATGTTCACGAAGCGCGCGAAACGTGTTTTTTATTTTTGCACCATTTTTGTAGTGCTCTTGAATAACTTTAATGCGGGCTTCAATCGAATACGACTCCATAGCAATCAATGGTAAACATTCAACTAACAAAATGACATGTCGGTGACAGAAAACAAAGATGACGTCTATGTCAAATTGACGTTTACTTTCCTGCGTCCCTATTGGACAACCCTAAGTATGTATAACACTGCTTTTGCGTTTCATGCGGCGACGAGGAATCCCATTGCTGCTTATTTTATGACTGGGCCGTACCAAAAACAATATTTTAGATAGATAAATATGCTTTATTGTCCGAATAACACAATCATTCTAAAAGACAAAGCTAACTGAAAACTAAACAAAATTACATATGTGGATCTCAAGTAAATACATTGTAAAGCTCACACATGGTACAATATGGCTAGCAAGTGAGGATATTTTGAGTTCACGGCCGCCCGCTTCTCGCATCGTCGTTCGCGCCGCCCATCTCCGTGGCCAAACCGTAAGTCGCATGACTAACTTCATAATCAATTCAAGTAGTATTTGGTCAATTTTGATGACACCGCGTTGAAATCGTCGGAAATATGTGCGCGGTGCTATTTTCTGAATTTGCTTCATTGATGTGTTCCCTAGATTTTAGTGGTCAAGTCCTTGTTTGTTCCCAGAGCGCCTACGATGACTGGTGTTGTGCTCGTCTTACTGTTCCCCATTATTACAATTGTCTTCTTGCAGGTGCAATCCATGCTCCCCATGCCCTCCAGAATACGAATCCCCGGAACAATTTATCCGCTCCACGGACCTGTGTAGCGCAGGCGGCCCAGGTGCCCGCACTAGAACAGGCAGACCGCGCGATCGCATCAGCATCAACGACGTGTTCCGCCGTTCCGATAGCGCGGACATGGACCTGGGCGGTCCCAGTGTAATGTCGCCGCCCATACCCAGGAATAAGCCGTACCTGCGGTATCCGAATCAACGCATGGAGCAGCATCCGTATGACTGCGAGTGCATCGATTGTATTTGCATACCTACCATTCAAGAGTTGGCACAGACGAGGGAGATACCGCCTATTAGGGATGAAAAACAGGTGTATCAGGTTGGTGCATCTGCACTGGAAATAACTAAATAGCTTAACAGGTTATGGAAACACAGTTCAAGTTATGACATACGTGAACCTTCTACATTACTCATATTTATTATTGTAGACAGTGTACCACACAAAAAAAGCATCAGGTTCATAGTCTAGTTCTGATGTAGCTGACGGAAAATTTTCTCAAAAATCAATTTATTTGAAATGTGGAATTCGAATTCCAATCTGTTTCTAACAGACTTCTATATGGAATAACTTCATGACATTAACTACATCATACGCTTTTGAACTACAAAAAATAACTAAACTGAGCACCAAATTATAACCGTATAAAATACAAATTAAAAAGCTTCCCTTCAAATTCATACAATACAAACTTGCTTCCAGCATCCTATAGGTATACTGAACAGACAATGTAAGTATTGAATTTTAATAGGAATGAAATCAATCGTAGTACTTGGAAAGTGCTTTATTTTGAAGTTCCATAATAATAATAATGAATTATTCACATCAATTACAAATTGTAAACAAATTGATATACCACCAAAGGAAAATATCCTTGTATGACAAACATAAAATCAAGCTATTGAAAAAGGCTGACTGCCAACAGAAATTATTGCTCTGTTTGCGGTGAGTCATTAAAATAATCCACATTGAGCGCTATGACCCATGGGATCCAACAAAATGGCAGCAATGGGGCAACAATACGATCTAACTTTGCTCAAAAACTTTTCAACCTCCTTTATATAACAACAAAAAATTTAAGATGATAGATATTTTGGAAGTAGCACAGAGTTCCCAGAAATGTTCACCCCACTATTCGGTTTTTGAAAAAAAATAAAACCGCAAAAAACAAACGACACGTCCGCAATATCATCAACTTGTTGGCTCTGGTAGAACTAATCTAGCACAGGCTAAAGATATGCCTCCATTTGACATGATCAAAACATTCCTAGTTGCATCGTGAACTGCTTGAATTCAAGTTTTATTATGACAAATACCCTTGCATGATTAGTATTAGCGCCATTCGAATTTACAAGTTTGACTATTTGTGGCTGTAGAGGGACGTCTGCTATCTAACCTACGTCATCAAGATAAAATATTACATATTTTCAACCTTCAAGGTGAAGTGCGTCTGCCCGAACGCCCAAAACGCTCGCAAGATCCTCTCCCAACGTTCCCGCATCCCCATATCAACGAACCCGGCCACCAGTCCCCCAAGAGTTGCAACCCCTACGGGGTGCACGTGCGAAGTTTGCAAGTGCGAAGACGACAAACAAAAAGAGGCTCCAACAGGAGAAGGGGCAGCGCTAGCACCTTCCTTCACGCACAAGGATCAGTGCGACTGCCCTGAGTGCGAGTGTGCAGTCTGTTTTGATAAGGCGAAGAGACCAGTGGGAAAGAACGAAAAAGGTGACCACCTTCTTTACATATGCTCAATGATCAGGACCAATCTGTCTCATAACTCAATCTGACATCAGTTCATTCCATAATCTAGATCAGTATTACCCAAGGTGTGGTATGCGTACCTCTAGTATTACGCGAAGGGCTTGTAGGGATTACGCGAGAAGAGAGGACTAAAACAAAAATATTAAATGGATAAGAGATAAGTCTCATGCCGAAGAAGAACAATTTTTGAAATTGTCTTCTGATGTATTTTCAAAAAGTAAATATAATGAGTGTAGCTTGACATCATTCTGGTCACAAATCCAAAATGTGTAACCGGCTTCAAGAGAAAACGTCTTGAAATACATCTTGGCTTTTCCAACTTAATATTAATATGAAGTTGCTGTAATTCAATACTTGTAGACGTTAAGTCAAGAGAGGGAGTAAATTAATGAGTAATTCTTTTATGAGTAAATATTTGTTTGTCATTTTACTGAATAAGAATAATTTTGTGATTATAGGTTGCCTCTGTAAGGGACCGTGCACTTGTGAGGATTGTAGTGTAGATAAGTACAAGAAAGCCCTCGAGAGGGTAGGAGGATTTCTTCCGAAACCCGGATATCCGAGTGACTGCGGTTGTGATACGTGCGAGTGTCCAGAGTCACCACTGAAACCTAAAAGGAAACCAAAACCAGGTAAGCTACATCCTGCTGCGCAGCATTTGACTATCGAATACATGGTGTTCCATTCGGAGATGACATAGAGGAGATGAGAGGCACCCAAATGTACATCCGATTTGGAGCAATGGTCAAGCCTGACCAAATCACCCAAGGCATAAGAGGCTTATGTAGAGATATCAATTACGACCACCATCTAGCACAGAATACTGTCTATATGTCTGAACTAGTACATTTCAAAAAATACTGTAGTAAGTCCTCACCTCTTATGTCAAAATCCATCAAGTCATTTAATATGTAGCCCGGAAGATAGGAATTTCCCTTTTTATTGAAATTCGCAATTTTGATTATATCAATTTTAATATATTCGGCGTCATTTGCTTTGTCAAGACAAATTTAGAGACGCATCCGATGTCAAAATGCATCATCCCCTTAAGCTGTAGTCCGGATTAAGTAGTAAAATACATAGCTTATGCCAAACTCCGCCTAATAAGGACGCTTTAGTATAATTATTATCATTCATCTGTAAAATAAGATTTTTTTTCCGCTATTTTTTATGAAAATTTTATACAGCTAGTGTCACTCGGACTAATGAATCCAACAACACCTGACATGTCAAAATCCATCTACCCGTTTGACTGGTAGCCCATAAAGTAGAATTGTTTGTACAGATGTATGTATACCCACGCGTGAAAAACATATCCCTCGTTCTGAGGCAGCCGGGTAAAAGCAATGACTCCACTGTCCGCCCTAAATGCAGGTCAGAAATATATGTGGTATATAACATTCCCTCAACAGATTCTCTCGAAGTCGGTCAGCTTCTAAAATACGTTAAAGTGAAACAATAGAGAAGAAGCTTCCACCAGTTCTATATATCCTAGTTCAAAAGTCGCATCAATCTCTTTATCTTCTTCAGTACAATGTCAGTGGGTACCTCAGAATCCATTTTCGCCTCCACCTCCAATTTCAGGTCATCCGGAAGATTGCGACTGCGACATATGTCGATGTCCAAAAGGACCCAATAATAAACCATCCGACTGCAATTGCGACACCTGCATCTGCCCAGGAGGCGGTGACCGGAGCGCTCCCAAGGAAGCCAAGTGCGACTGCGACCCTTGCGACTGTTCGCCATGCAGCGATCCGAAGAGACGAAAAGTTGGTGACAGTAGGCCAGGAAAGTTACCGCCTTGCGATTGTCCGACGTGCGAGTGTTCGCCATGTGCGGACCCCACCAAAATGTACGTATATAGTCCAGTCAAATAACGAATGGCCTAAATGCTTTGGAAGAAAAGCATAATGCTATATAGCAATTTTCCTCGGATTTCCAGAATCTAAACTGCAAATTAAAAGGATATCCTCGTTCGAGGTTTTGTTGAGTTATATCGATACGTATTTGCCAAAGTAACGTAAGTCACCAAAAACGATTTCGGAGAAAAAACGTGTTTTTAACTTAACCTGGTTAAACTTTTTTAAATTGTGCAAAATTTACCAAGGTGTTTCTCTGAGGTCTATATTTAATTAAGAAAAATGATTTTTGAAGTTTTTCTATAGTTTTAGTGGTTAATTGATACTTACGTTACTTTACGGGTTCAGAAATCTCGAAGTCTTGATCAAAAATGTAACGTAAGTACACAGATACGTCAGTTTGGCGGCAAATTGTAGCATTTAAAGTATTTTGGAAAGAATTAAAAACTCTCGTTTATTATTAAAAAAACACAAAATAACGTTACAAAAGAAAATATGAAATTCTTACTAGTAAAAAATATATATTTTTTTAAGTTTTGGAGCTTTCATCTTCATTGTCATCATCTGCATCAGTTTCTGCTAACTCATCTGGAAGAGAAAACTTACATTTTAATTTAAAGAATTCATCGTGAAACCTGACAGGTATGACATTGTTTTTGCAAAGTTTTACCAAATCCCTTTTCTTCATTTCGGATGTTGGAAGCAGTTGTTTATAATTTTTTTCAGGTTCAGAAACTGCTTTTCTTGCCGCTTTCGACCTTAAACAAAGAAATACTTCAGGATAACTTGCAAATATGTATTCATTTTTTATATTTGTAGTTCATTAACAGTTTTCTGTTTTTAATAAAGACTTAATAACACGGGAATTCCCTATACAGGGTGTCACTAAATTAGTATTCAAAACTTCAACCACAAACAATCATTAAAAAATATGTAGATGAAAAATTTGCGATGGGTCCGGAAATGTTTCATTTCCGAGATACATTGTGTTGAAAATACGTTAAAAAATCAGTTCTTTTCTTATAATTCAGACAAAATGTTTTCGAAAATTTGTAAACTTTGTCGTTTCTCTTATTTCGGTGGTACCCATTATGAGAAGAAAAAAATCTTAATTATCTAACCAGTGGCGTAGTTACTTAATACGTTGAAAAGTAAAATAGTCTAATTCTTTCGCCAATGCTTTTTTTATAATTTCAATAATTCATTATTATTGCTTACTTTATTTAGAAAAAAAAGTACTGTTTCAAACTTTTGGAAAAATCAACCGTTTCTTTGTTTAAAAAAAACAAAAACCATATAAATACTATTGAATGAAAAATATGATTTGTCTTAACTACAAGTTTTTGTCTAAAAAAATAGTAGGATATGCTGATTGTTGATTGCTAATGGCATTAAAAATATTGACAGAAAAAAAAATCGAAAATACTTATCTGAATTAAAAGAAAAATATTGATTATTTGATGTCATTTCAACACAATGTATCTCGGAAATTAAACATTTTCGGACCCATGTTTATGAGAGATTTTTATATACATAAGTTCTGTTTGTGGTTGAAGTTTTGAATACTAATTTAGTGACACCCTGTATAAAAGCAAAAGCTTACTCAGTGTAAAAGGTTCTCTGTAATGTGTAAAATGGACCAACTTACCACCCTTAAAGCACAAATCGTACTCAGGACTGCTGCCATAGTTATATTTGACCGCGACTTCCGATTATCCTTTTTGGAAAAAAGCTTGTCTTACACTATTCATTTTTAGTCCGGTTTTTGTAATGACCAGCTGATCTTCCCCTAGCTTGTATTATCTACGAGTTTTGGAAACACATTACAGGTTTTTGTTTCAGGGTTCAACTCTAAATCGTTATTGTTAACATAATCAACTAACGGCTGAAAATATTCTTGTACATCGCATTCCTGTTCAAATTGAACACCCACTGTCCTATTTGAGCTATCAGTACTTATTGGTACATTTATTTCTTCTTGCATAGTATGGTTACCATCATTTTCATGAGGACTCGAATTGTTAGAAGACAATAAAATTGAATGATCTATTTCGATTACGTCTTCATTCACTAAAGTAGTTTTTAAAATATTTTCGGAATTATCTAGATCAAAAACTTGAAATAATGGATATCGGCATAGACCCGATTTCTTCCTCAGAATAAACATTATTCGATTGATCATTTTGGCTAAGAGCCGCCAAAATCCTTTTTGTTCGTGAACTGACCATAGACATAATCTGAAAGTGACCGAGCATTTATGTTTACAATGTTTCATAGCTTCCATAAAAATTAGAATAGAAACAAATACAACAGTCTTTCTCTAACTTCAACCGATTCATTCCTGTAAATTTCTCACAGGCTTCGAGGTTATGACAGAATAACTTCTAATAGATAAACGAAATTAAATATGAAATGGGAGTTTTATAGGTAGGTACATAATATTGGTTAAGGTTTTAATATTTTTAAATTCTAACTACAAAAAAATGTTTTTTTAACTTCAACCGATTTATTCCTGCAAATTTCTCACAGACTTTGAGGTTATCACACAATCATTTGTAACAAATGAACGAAATTAAATATGAAATGGAATTTTATAGGTATGTACCTACATAATATCAGTTATGATAATATGAATGAATGAATATTTTTGAATTCTAACTATAAAAAAAGGCGTTATTATTTACCTACCTAAAATCAATAATTAGTCGATGGTAGCACGAACCTAACACTGTCGTAAGCCAAACACTGACTGAGAAAATCTGACATAAGTCGCAGAAGCCGACCGGGACTTAACGTTATTATGGCGGTAAAAAACGTTAGCTTGCATTACTATGATGGAAATAGTGTTAAAGTTACGTTTCTTTTACAGATATGATTTGAAAAATTCTGGACATACGTTTTCAAAAAAAGTTAAAAACAAAGGTTTAAAGTAAAATCTAGGCTTCCTACACTTTGGCAGTACCTTCTCAACAATAAAAGCCTTACGTTAATGGAAAAACATGATCTTCACCAAAAATGTCACTAACGTTACTTTGGCAAAAATGCATCGATATGCTCAATAACAAACGGTTTGTTCCTACAATGGTCGGTGACTTGTCGGTGACAGTGTCTGGGATCCGGCCTTGTAAATACTGTCCATATGGCGTAGCAGAATGAACGTAATTTGTGTGGAGGAATCCTGGACCGATCACTGACAGGTTGGCGGCAACTGTACGTGCAAATGATTTTCTGAATATAATTTTGTATACAGTTAAACATGAGCAAGTAGTGATTATATTTTTACTTCCTACTTCGAAAATGAAGTATTATGATTTTTAGATATTACAGGTATATGACATATACATCACGAAAAATCATGTCACTCATTACCGTCATTCTATCTGTTTGTCACTCTGTCTGTCCGCTAATCCATGGACCTCCTGTAACTTGGGAGGTACAACTCGGAGTTGGATGGAATTTTCAGATAAGGTTAATATGCCAAGGACGAAACTGCTTTGTAGGTTCTGAAAATCGGTCCAGTGGCGGCACAAAAGAAGGCTAAAAACGGAAAAATTGCAATCATTCAAGGTTTGATTTACTCCCCACGCCTACATAAGTGCCGTTCGGATTTTGACGGAATTTTGACACAATGTTATTAATGTGCCAAGAACGCAAAGCCTTGCAGTTTTTGAAAATCGGTCCAGTGGCGGCAGAGAGAAAGGCTTAAAACGAAAAAAAAAATCGCTTAAACTTCGTTTTTTGACATTTTAGAGGATCCTGATCATTTTTGAATAAAAAATCAGACGTAAACAAACTTGAGGGTGGCGGTAGTAAGGAGATGGGGAAGGTTTATCTCCATCTTTTAATGCTCGTACACATTGGTAATGCTACGCACTTAGACGTATTTCACACATCATAGATTTCTCTGTACATTGTAGCCCTGAAAACTATTCTCGGAAGACGGCTGTTGCAGGCGTCGTACGCCGACCGTGATGACTTTTCTATGGAATCATATACATATGTCTTTGCCGAGCAACAGCATGTGTTGTCTATGCTTTGGCCGCCCACAGTGCCACGTCTGCCCGAGATAGGTACCGGGGAGAGCCAACGTTTCCAGATTCACTACCGGAAGGGCAGGGAAAGAATGTTTATGGACTTGTTGGACTGACGTTTTTCTCAGCGGGTCTAGTTTGTGATGCGAATATTCCTTTATGTACCAATAATGGCGTTACGTGGGAAGTGAAGAGTGAAACCACTTGACGCCATTTTTTGACGTTTCAAAAGATCCTAGTCTGGCACACTGTAGCTCCCTGGCATACTGTGTGACCACTGGGCGAATGTATACAACATCAATATAGCCCAATCTAGCGATTCAATAAATGTTTTCACATCAAGATTTAATCACGACTTCCTCAAATAAAATAAATTTTACTGGGCGCTATTCTCTTTGTTACTGACCATTTATTTTGTGTAATCGCCGTTTAAAGTTAGCGGACAACGAAGAACGCCTGGGGAAAGTATCGAAAAGGATTTATCTCCTTACAGCGTACATTCATGACCAAGTTCTTCCGCGATTCCGAAAGCAGCATTTAGTATTCCGAAATAGCGTACTAAATTAGACAATAACTATATGCTGGCAGCAGGGATTGCTCTAACATACCGACGCTTCCCATTGCGGGATCTCGTAAAATCTCCTGGGGTACCGCAGGAATGATTCTGATCTCGACATCAGATAGCATGGTGTTGTAGGAGCTGTCAACGATTAGTTCTTTCCAAGAATGAGTTTCTGATGGACTCGCACAGTCACTTACAGTGGAACAGCGGATAACGAGGCAACATCATATCATGATTTTGTTGAAATGACTACAGTCAGAAATACATTTGACAACCTCTGATTGTTAGGAATTCCTTGTTGGAAAGAACCCCTGATGTCGATAACTGTCGTAAAGTGATCTGACACCGACGAACAGTGGTCTAGAACACCCAAAAGGCTGACATTAAGTACAACTTCTGTAGCATCCTCACGAAATTTAGTACAAAAGGGTTTTTGAGGTACCTGATTTAAAAAAAACAGAAATTCAATATGGCGTATACAATATGGCATCGGATCCTTGAAGTAAGTTGGTATTATAAAAATAAACATTCGACCATTTATAAAAATTATGAATATGATAACTAGAAATAAAAATAAACAAATAATCATTGCAACACCGATGACTAACACATATCTTTTCTTCATTGTTAGTCTACTCCAAGATTAATAGACATATTACATTTATATTATATAGATTTTTCTTCAATCCTATCAGTTTATTATAACTGCTATGGTATATGTATGTTATGTTAGCATGATATCCACATACAAGTATGTTTTCCTTTTGTGGTCAATGTATTTGTTCATAATTTGTAATTGATGATGTGAATAAATTATCATTATTAAGTTATGATGTTTGATAGGAAATAGGATTATTATATCAAAGTGATTGTCAAATAAGAAGGATTCTTTAAAAACAAAGAAATATTATTTTTCAAATAAAACAAACAAGAAAATACATTATGATTATAGCCCTTTCTTCGAAGTCTGAAAAACGAATCTGAGGTTAAGTAGATTCTTTATTAATTTTGCAACCTTTACATTTCTCTCTGCTCTTAATTTCCTTTTTAATCTTTTAGTTCTTTCAGATGAATTTGGTCGACCTTTAGTGACTGATTTTCTCTGGCTGAATTTTCTTGTCAGTTTTATTGTGTGTTTGGGCCAGTTTTAGTATTCGATTTAAAAAAGATATCTGTTTCGTCTGATTTCTATTTTCGGTATCACATAGGATTTCTTGACCTGTTTGTTTCAAAATTTTGGCTTGCAATTTATGCAAATCACAATATGTAAAGATTTCCGAATTTAAAAGTAATACAACGTAGTATATAAAGCAAAGGGTCGATACGAGCATTTATTATACCTAGTTGGTTTGGATTGATTAAGGCCTTATTTCTGAAAGGTTTGTGTAAGCTGGCAAAATTTGATTTTAAATCTGGCACTACTTCAAGGTTCTTAGACATACTATAATTAACCTCAATGGGTCAAAAGACAGAACCGTGTTAAAAGACCCTGCTAATTACTAGTAGCAGAAACGTGACAGAAAAGTATTGATATGATCAAGCCACGGTGTGCGTGAATACAACAAAATTAGAGAACATGTTTATTATACAGTGTGTTCATTTGAAAACTTTCCACCACGGATTTATCGAAAACCACTGATTACAAGAAGAAACACCGAAACACGTCAAAAGACTTGTCAAGGGGGACAACTTTTTAACCAAATACTACTTCACCAACTTTAACTCTTCGTCCCCCAAGGTCATCCCCTTAAAAATTTTGAATGACAAGGGGTATCGAGTAGTAACTTGTTTGAAAAGTCTTTCGAGCACCTTTATTTTGACGTTTGATTTTTTAAAATCGGTCGATTCGTTAAGATACTTAGAAAAATCTTTATCTTAATTTGATCAGATAGAAAACAAAAACACTCGAAAATATCACTTTTTATTTCAATAAGTGTTCAAAATGTTGCCCGTTATTTTCCATACAATGATATAGGCGATGTTCAAATTCCTGACGGACATTTTCAACAACATGTTGTGGGATATCATTGCAGCTTTCGATGATGCGTTGACGTTCATCCAAAGTTTCAGGTTGCGGAGTATACACAATCGATTTCAAATGGCCCCATATAAAAAAGTCTAATGGCGTCAAATCAGGAGATCTGGCAGGCCATTCTTCGCCCTATCACTTTATCTGAAAACTTGTCGTTTGGGTATTGCCGAACCGGAAGAACATAGGGAGGAGGAGCGTTGGCCTCATCAAATATAGGGTTTCCATCTTTTCGATTTGCTTTTCAATGGTTTCAGTGATAAACGGTTTGACGGTATTTTCCAACATATCCTAATAAATGTCTTCATTAATAAACCATGGCCCAATCACTTTGCTTCCAATACATAATTTTTTGGGGGTACTGGGAATGCCCTTCTATAAAAGCATATGGATTTTCATTGCTCCAATGCCTGCAGTTATGCTTATTAACAAATCCATTTAGATAAAATGTGCATTCATCACTGAAGCAGATATTCTTTAC